CCCCAAAACCCCAAAACCCCAAAACCCCACTTAGTTAAGGAGGGGTTGGAAATTATTTTGGTATTATTAACTTTTGTTTAAAAATGTCAAGACCTCTTCTCTGCCAATTCGAAAAAGACTGCAAACAATCTCCCCAAAGCATCCACATAACCACTAACAAGCTCACTTGCGAATACCATCGTACTAATTCAAGAGAGTCTGAGCAAGATTTCATACCTTTGATTTCTTCTGACTCTCTTGACGATAAATTTAAAGAAACTGAGTCAGCCATAAAAGTATTAGAAGAAATGCTGAATAAGGTTGATTTCGGAGATCTTACAAATACTATAAAAAGGAGTATAGAACAGTTTAAAAAGAAACTCAAAAAAGCAGCAGACAATTACTTTGATGTATTGCTGCACAAATAAATATGCTAAGCTCATATCAATAAAGAGCGATCTTGATCAAATCAAAACCTTAATGACAAATAAAGGTTTTTGGAGTACTCTTACAGACGAATTTTTCTGGTATCAGATACATTCCCCTCACCCCCAGAATCCAAATGAAGAATCAAAGGCTCCTCCTTTCATACCAGAATCACAAGAACCCTCAACCACCTCAAGTCGAGCATCCACTTTTTCAAGAGAGGAAGAAGGTCCTAATCGCCAAATTCTTAGCCCCAGAAACAATGAAATCCCTGCTGCAATGTCTCTCACCACCATCTCCCAAGCAGACTCCCACAACGAAGAGGTAAAATCCCTCCTCAGTCACTCTCCCCATCGCTCCTCTCTTCCTGTTCTAAAACTCTCAAAATTAGTAAAAATATCCTTCTATCTGTCACTTAGAATCCCGTTTAACCTGTTCGAGTCTTATAGACCAAAGAAGAAACTAAGAATGAAGATAATGAACCTCCTCTTCCTGAAATGGATAGACCTAATACACAGATATTTGGAGAACAGAGAATCAGAAACACGACGATAACAACCAATCAAAATAGAAACAGGGCTGGAACTGAGATGAGAAAGAATTTAACTGCAGTAGAGAGTAGTGTATATAATACTGAAGACATTGTTCAATTAGCAAATGAATCCGAAGAGAAAAGCATGATTATAAAAGCTTTTAAGATACAGGAAAAGCTTCTAAATATCAAAGGTAATTTCAAAAACTCATGAAAAACAATCCTAATTAACCCTCCACTCACAGCACCCATCACGCACCTCGAGTACGACCAAATCTACGAAGACACCCTAATCGGCTCCACTTCAGACTTCTCCAGGACCAAAAGCCTCGCTTTCAACTTCGAGGATGCTAATGACCAGGCTGTCATAGAGAGTATCCGCTCCAAAGTTCTTCCTGAATGCAAAGATCTTAGGCTAACCAACCATACTCTTAAGAACAAGTGGTTTGTGTCCTTCATCAAAACATCGTTTCCGGTTATCGTCAATAACCTGACCTTCAACGAAAACTCTGAGAATCTTACATTATTAGATGATTATCTTTCAGCGTTAACTCTTGTTAGCAAAAGAGTAAAGGATAGTATTGATGTTTACAACTGCCTCATCAAAGACGCTAGCATGAAAGTCTTCCTCTCTATAAACTGCTACAAACAAAAAATCGGTTTCTTCGACTGCGCAATAGACATCCAAAACCCCTCAGATTTCTCATACGCTCTCGAATGCAGCCAGATCAAAGAACTCTACCTTAATTACTGTGGGAATAAGAGGAATTCTGACTGGGGGACCCATCCTGACAGATTTATAGCTCTAGTGAAAGGGCTTTCTACTGCACCAGATTTTGTGAAGAGTCTGGAGGTTATTTGGATTTATGATAGCGGCATGGAAGAGAGAGAAGTGAGAGAAGTATTGGATAGGTATGGGTTTCAGAATGTGAGGATATTGGTTCATAGTCCGTAGATTTTTGGTAATGGTGAATCAGTGTTTTTAGGGATTTTTGGGGTTTTGGGGTTTTGGGGTTTTGGGGTTTTGGGG